AAAGCCCCAGCACCCTCCCAGTTGTCTGTGACACACGGTGCCTGCCCACCCTGCCGTCCCCTGATCCACTCTGATGGCTCCTCTCCCTCCTTCCCCCCCACGTCAGTGTGAGCAGCCACGACCGCGGGCAGACCTACAGTGCTGAGTGGTCCGACGATGAAGGCAGCAACTCCTTCAACACCAGCGAGGCCAACGGCGGCACCAACCCCTTCGATGAGGAGTCAGCAGGGAAGGGCGTGCGGGTGCGGGCTCTGTACGACTACGATGGGCAGGAGCAGGATGAGCTCAGCTTCAAAGCAGGTACGGTCCATCACCGGTGCTGGGTCAGCTAGGGCTCGTCTACTGGAGTTGCAGATCCCACACTGCTCTGCTTTTTGGTGTAAAATCCCTCAAATCACTTCTGGGTTATCCCAGCCCTTCAAAATGTTGAGCTGGCAGAAAGGGGAAGGCACAAGCTGAGCCCAAACTTGGGTGGGACCAGAGAGATGGTGGGATGGGGTGCGTGAGGTCTCATGGGTCACCCCTTGCCCTTCTACCCTACAAACCTGCATGCTCAGGATCAGTCCTAGGGACCCCCAGAAGCTCCATCCAGGGGAGAAATGAGGGGACAGAAGAGGCTCCAACACCTGCAATGAGCTCTCCCCTTCCCCCCTTCCCCTCCAGGTGATGAACTAACCAAACTCGGTGAAGAAGACGAGCAAGGATGGTGCAAAGGGCGCTTGGACAACGGGCAGTTAGGTCTCTACCCCGCCAACTACGTGGAGGCAATCTAAGTCTTGTGATGTGCTCCTCATTGCCGTCAGCAGATAAATCCACCCTCTGTTGTCTCCATCTCTCCACCAGTCAACCAGCCATTTTGCCGTCTGGTCCTCCACTCCTCACAGTTAGAGATTCAGACATATTTTCCGACCAAGCTTTTATTTTTTTAAGAGTTGTCTCCGAAGAGTATTTTGCATAGTCGCTTTCTTCTACGATAACGTGAAGCAAAAGATGACGTTGTCCGTTCGTCTACGTTAGTTGATTTTTTTCCGAGCGAAAAGCTGATACCTCAAGATCTTAAAGCCCAACCAGTGAGAGCTCCTGATTGGTTGGTTTTTAAAGATACTGAAATCATGAGCCGCCTTCTGATTGGCTGGAACTGTTCTGAAATGCACAGCACTGAAGCTCCTGGGACCAATCAAATTCACCCCAAAAAAATGAGAGGGATTGGAGTCTGACTCCATTTTTTGGTGTTCCCATGTTCTTCTCCCCAGTTCCTCCTCCCTCCCCAACGCAGGGGGACGAGCGTCCCCACCTGCCCCGCAGCCCCCCAGCCCCATCCACAGGCAAGTCCCTGCTCATGGGCAGGGCTGGTGGCAGATTGAGATGCTCAGGAGAGGTGGGACCAGCCCTGTCATGGAGCTTGGTGGCATCTCCTCAGCTTCCTCCTCCTCCTCGCGTCCAGGCTGCCAACGTGCTGATGCCCCGCATGTGCTGCAGGGAGCAGCATCGCCCTGCGTGAGGGCCGTCATCCAGCTCACACCGACCCAGGGTGAGATGACCCGAAAAACCACCGCTGTTCAGAGAAGGACCCACTGCAGCCCAATGCTGCTGGAAGCACCTTCACACCCAGCCTGGGATAGCGGGGACCAGCTTGGATCCCGCTGGGGACAGTCCCCACCCGCCCCCTTCCTGAAGAGAGGCAGGAGCAGACCAGGGATGGGGATAAGGAACGTTCAGCCTTGCACGGTGCCAGCAGGAGCTGCAGCCAGCCGGAGGATGAGGAGGGCTTGGTGCAGGCAGCAGACCCCAGCCCCATCAGCAAAGCAGCTGCTGGGTGAAGACGGCCGAAAACAAGACATGCCAAAGCAGGGGAAGAGCCGCAGGCTTTGCCCTTTGCTTTTCCCCAGGGGGCTCTGCCCCTCCTGCACTCGGGCTCAGCAACCTGCCGTGGCATGGATGGGACCCACTCAGCACCCATGGGTGCTGCCACCCAGCATGGTCACCCCAACCCCTCTGTCCCAGGCACATTTCCCATCCCAAGCTCTTCCCTACAGATCACCTCTCATTTTTTTCCATAGCATCACCCTCGGCAGCAGCAATGCCATCATCTTCCCGCACGCTCCTCCTGCTCCTCTCCTGTCCCCTCCATTGGTTCATGAATTTTTTGGCCCCAGGGATCAAGTGCTCTCGTGGAGGCAGGAGATGCACCATGTGCTCGGCACAGTGGGCGAGAGCCGCCCAACCCCGCGTCCCCTGCCAGGTATGCAAACAGGAAAAAAAATACAAAAAAAGTCAGAAAAAACCCAACCAACCACCTGTCTCAGCAATGCACCCCGGTTTTTTGTACATTGATTGTGTAATTTAAGAAGTATATATATAATATATATATATATATATATCGTGATTGTATTACCGTGGATGCAACAACAAAAAACAGCAAGAGAAAAATAACTGAGCTCTGTAAGCGTCCTCCGGGTCTGGGTCCTCGTTTCCCTCCATGCGCCGGTCTTGTCCCCCGTGGAGGCGGCTGTCGGGGTTAGGGACCCCTGCCCAGGGCGAGCACTCGAGCTCCCCATGCCCCAGGGAGTCACGGTCACAGCCGCTGCACCCCCAGGTAGGGATGCCCCAACCCTGAGGCTTTGGGGTGCAGCGGGATGGGGGACATTGCTGGGGTCCTGGGGGACAAGGGGGCTGCAGGAGCGGGGGAACAGCCAGTGCCTTTGGGGACCCCCGTGCCAACCTGCCAGGCAAAGCCTTGTGAAGCCCACGGGGGGATTCAAGACAAAGCAGTTTTGGGGGCCGTTCCCAGCCCCAGCAAAAGCAGCGGCCCCCAACCCAGCGCTCCCCCCTACCCTGGGCAGGGGGAGCTGGGAAAGCCCCAGTGCAGCGAGTTGATGCCAACAGAGGGGACAGAGCCTCCCGGGCTGCTTATGAGCCCTAAAACCTTGGGAAAAATGATTTGCAGGTCACACACCCCTCTGCCCTCCCCGGAGAGCCAGGGCAGCCCCAGGACAGGGCAGCGGTGGAGAGAACAGGACCTGCCGGGGCGTGGGGAGCAATGCCTGGGCTCCTGATGGGGAGGGAGCAGAGAAAAGGGATTTATTTTCCCTTATTTAAGGGCTGGAGCTGCAAGGGGTTTGGGGGAAACCCTGGCTGTCAGCCCCGTGGCGCTGGCTGCCCGTCCCGCTGCAGCGGGCAGCTGCTGGGTCAGGTCCCACGTCCCTGGGGATGCCCTGTCCCCGGGTGCACCCTCCCCAGCTGGCGGCAGTTTTCCTTGCTGTTTCACCCCCTTCCATCCCACCTTCCCCGCAGGGACGTGCAAACCCCCCCACACCTTCACCCACCCTGCCAAAGGACTTGCAAGAAGGACACAGGATTTGGGGCACCGGCACCCCCCAGCCCATCCTCCCGGTGCGCCCCACGCCGGCTGCAAGAGCATCGGTCGCACACAGGAAATCACAAGACATGTTGTGCTTTTTTCCCCCATTTCTTTTTTTTTTTTTCCCTCCCTTTTTCCAGAGGCCAAGGCAGTTTTCCTCCTTCCCCTGCTCCTCTCCTCTCTCCAGCCGCCCTCCATCCCTCCAGCCGGGATGCTTGCAAGGCTGGCCGAAGCGCGTCTGCTCCTCTGCCGTGTAAACAATACAGAACGGGCAGAACAAAAAGCAGAAGGCAGGAGCTGTTACAGGCAGCTATTTTAAGTTAAAAACAAAAGACCAACAACCAGGTGTGTTTTTTCCTTTCCTACCACAAAACATCTCATGGGTGCCTGGGCCGCCCGTCTACCCTCGTCATTTGAACCTAAACCACAACTTGCTGCCAGCCAAAACCAAAAAGCAAATAAACAAATAAAAAAAAATTATAATATAAAAGATCAACATTGCCAGGTAACTTAGACTCTCGTGAAATGTGCAGTTTAAGCAATCCCCAGTTTTCCGTCCCAGCTCGGGCTCAGGGGCTTGTGTTTCAGATTTACTGTCCAGAGGGAAATGGCAAAGCTGCCATCTCCCTTTTCCCAAACTCAGGAATCAGGCAGTCCAAATAAAATCCAAATAAAGGGAAGAGCCCAGTGCCAGGGCCAAGGACCTGGGGGCTTCGGGGGGCTCTGGCTGCCCCCTGTGCCCAAGGATGGGGGACCCGGCTCAGGGGACCCCTCAGCCTGCAGGGATGCTTGGGCACGTGCAGCCCCGCACCCACATTTTACAGTTGCTCCCTTTGCCAAACACCCATTTTCAGCCCCAAATCCCTGTGGAGGGGAGAAGCCGAGCGTGTCCTGGAATGGGAAGCAAAGCGGGGATGCACTCATCCCGAGGGGATGCCCATGGTCCCCAGGGCACAGTTACCCCACACCCAGCTCCCACGGCAGGCAGCATCCCTGGGTGCCGCGGTGCTGCTGGTGCCAGGCTGCTCCTGCGCGGGTCGGGTCAGCGCGGGCCTGGCCAAGGGCAGCTGCGGGTGCCATTGTCCCCACGGGTGCCATTGTCCCCACGGGTGCCATTGTCCCGGCTCATGCCCAGGCTTTGTCCTCCCCAGACAATGGCCAGGGCGAAGCCACCCGCAGCCAGCACCCAGGAGAGAGGGGAGGAGGGAGGGATGAGCCTAGCTGCCATCACCCCCCAAAATTCAGGCAGCCCCTTTCTTTGCAGCTGAGGGTTGAGGGCAGAGACCCTTGCCACGCTGTCTCCCACCCCAAACAGGGCGGAGGGCCAGGAGCTGCTTGCTGGTGTAAATCCAGAGCAGCACCACTGCAGCGCACAGGGTCACCCCCGATGGGCACTGACCGAGGGCAGCCGGTCCCACAGCCAGGCTGGTGCTGGCATGGGGACAGGATTTGGCTGGAGGGGAGTGTGGCCCTGATGGTGTCGTGTCCCCCTCAGAGCAGCCCTGGGGCATGATCCCATAGGGATATTGTGGTCTCCTCCTGGGACGTGCCCTTGGCCCCTGTGTCCTGACCATGCCCTGGGGCTGCGGGGTGAGAGGACAACGTGCCAGGGGGCAAGAGACCTGGGGGCGAGACGCCTGCATCCCCCGGGTCCTCTCCTGGTGACCCCAGTCACTCTCCCACCTTCAACCCCTGCCAAAGGGCACCAAGGTCGTGGGAAGCCCCACAACAGCCAGAGATTCATCTGCCTTTATCTCACCCCAATCAACCCCACATCTCCCCTGCTGGCCCCAAATTCCGTGCCCACCCTCCCCTGGGAACACTCATGGAAGATGAGGGCTCAGCACAGTCCTTGCCCTGCACCTGGGCACATTGGTGGTGGTCCCTTAGCTGGGGGCTCATCCCTCCCCTCTGAGGCTGGGGGGCCAGAGGGGTCCCATGGTCCATGACCGGTGGCCCCGGTGGGTGGACAAACTGGTAGACGAGACGCTGGGAGATGTCAGGTTTCCGGATGATGCCTTTCTTGTAATACTGCCGGATGGAGCGGCTCAGCTTGTCGTAGTTCATGGCCGGGCGGTTCTTCCGGATGCCCCACAGACGGGCGACTTGCGCCGAGTCCTCGATCTTGAAGATGCCTGGGAGGGGAGGCGGGGGGGGGGGTGACCCCCCCCCCCCTGCCCCCCCAGCGCCCACCCTGGGGCCACGGGAGCACCCACCCACCTTTCTCCTTGTTGAGCCAGCGGATGAAGCGGCCGTAGTTGTGGGGCTTCAGCAGCAGCTCTTTGAGGAACTGCCAGAGGTGGATGGGTTGGCCGGCGCAGGATGAATCCACCTCGCTGTCCGCCCAGCCGGCATCACCTCCTGCCGCGGGAAGGGATGGGTGAGATGGGGGTGGGGAGAGACCCCTCTGCTTTGCACCGTCCCAGGGACCCGCACAAGACCTCGTCCCAGAAAACCCAGCTCAATGCCTGTGGGACTCTGGAGACTCAGTCTGGGTCTGGAAGCATCGCTTTTTCCTCCCCATCCTGGAACAGGGAAAACAGCTTGGTCCTGCCCTTGTGCAGCTCTGCAGGGATGCACAGGGTGTGGGCCAGGGCCAGCAAGGGTCTCGTGGCCATTTGCCCTTTGCTGCACCTTCCAGACAGCCCAGGGGCTGCTCTGGGGCAGAGGGAGTGCAACCACCCAGACGCTGCTGCAGCAGCCTCTCCAACACACCAGATAATTGCAATTAAGCAGGGAGCAACCTCTCAAATACCCCGGACCTGGCTGAGGCAGAAGTGAGGCCAGTGGAGCTGAGCCCGTGCAGAACTCACCGCAGAATCTCACATCTCCCGGAGCGGCTTTTTCCTTCATCCAGGCAGCTGGAAGGGAGGAGCGGGCGGTCAGAGGGGCATCTCCCGCTGCACAGCATCGCCCACCCTCCCCAGCTCCCCCTCGGTCCCTGGCACCTACCAGACTTCCAGATGTCGAGGTGGGCATGCAGGATGTCGCCGCAGGCGGGCGAGCGCTGGCAGAACTGCTCCTCGGACATGGCGCACAGGTCCTTTCCCGACAGCTCTCCCGGGTCGTGGCCAGCCGGTACTGGTGCTCTGTCCACAGGATCCACTTCTGCACGTTGCCGGGGCTCCAGTCCGCGGGGTCTGGAGGCAGAGGGTGAGCGTGGCCAGCGACAGCCTGGGCAAAGCCTGGGCAAACTCAGCTCACCCCACAGTGGCCCCGGGAACCCGGGCCCTCCTGTCCCACTGCAGCATCATCCACCAGGCTGGGAGCATCCCGCTCCCAGCCTTCCTGTGTCCCCAGGGACAA